GAATCGCGCGGGCAGCGAGATCCTGAATGCGCACTACTGAGGAGTTCCATACTAGGACGAGACGGTCGTCCAGTGCTTTTAGGTTTTCCAAGGTGATCTAGCTTTAATTGACCTATGAACTCAACTATTATTTAAATATATTCAAAACGCGATGATACTATTTATTACTCCTCAGTAGAATGACAGATTATTTTTGAGATTAACTTTTTAGTAGGATATATGAAACAGATATACAGAAATGTCAGTTGTTAGGAAATTTAGTTAATTTTTCTATGAACCTAGCATCATTAAAAATGAATATAACTAACATTTATGAGAAAGATATAATTATTAATTAGTCCCTAATAAAGTTTGAAATAATATTCATAGGTATCATGGTCATAGATCTCACTGTTGAACTATTGACACACATAACTGAATGACAGTCATTCAACTCTATAAACCAAATATTATACTGTGATAAATATGATTGTCTAATTTGAAGTTCTAATTTCACAAGTTTTTCGACTTTCTGTAGGTTACGAGACAGGATTTTAAAGGTTAGTGATATATAACTAATTAATTAAAAAATAATTTCGGATTATTCATTATTTCGATCGTAAATGCGGTTTGTTCAGACCGCCTACTGTAGAAATTTCTTAACGATACAATACCAATAAAACCTGATTTATTTTCTCAGAAACTATGGGTGTATGAACAAAATTAACTTTTAAATTGCTCACTACATTGAAACACAGATATATGAATAAAGGATAATCTTTTCAAAAACTTCTCTTCAGATTCTATTCATGGTATATATCTGTGTTTTAATATGATGGGAATTTTTCAGTAATTAAACTATTATGATCTACTCACTACGTTATTATAACACAGAGTATTGCATAAGAGTCAATTGTTTCTAAATTTATAATGAGATTTGATATGACACATTTATTATTGTTTGTTCAGTAGAACTATATACACGTATCTATAATCAGAATTCATTCAAAGGAGCAAGTCTTAACTAAATTTTCTTACTTGTATATTTTTTAAGAAACAACTTTAAATACTTACAATTTTGACGCAAATAACCTCATAGCGCTATTAGTGAAGTGATTTTGTGGAGACAATTCTAATCATATAAATAACAGAAAAACGACTTGGTATTCACTCCGCCCTACAATTAAGGGGATTTCTGAAATCAATAGCTAAGTTGATAATGCGTTGGTGTGAAGCGGAAGGTACTGGGTTTGAGTACCGAATTAGACATCAACTTAGGGGTGTAGAAACATCTAGATGACAAACGATTAATAAGATGAGACGCATATTGTGGACTCTATTGTCAGCCACATTCCGTCTGTGTCATAATGGGCAAATCGAAGCATTCCACACAGGGTGAACACATAACAAACAAGAATGATTAAATTTCAGTCAAAATATCAACTACAGTGTAATCCAAACAATTATAAATTAAGACTTCTTATTTATACTCAGGAGAAAGTCGAAGAACACGTCACAGTTTTTTAAATGAAATAATTAATTTTTAGTCCACTAGTTTTATAGGAAAAAACTATCAACAAATTAAATTATTAACCCAACATTATAAAGAAGAGGATTAGCTTTATAAATTAAATTAAAAAAGCCAACTACTTGGGACCAGAGATGGTTGTACGGTTGTCCTATGCCCCTTTAAAATTGGTGAGTGAGAAAATTCACTTAGGTTAAAATTTAACATAACTATTATTTAGTGTTGTAACAGTAGATCCATAGAATTCTGATACAACAATCAAATACTAGTGTCCATAATGTGAAGTTTACATCATCTTGACTCAACCCCGTGTCTTCGGGGGATATGAGTAGCAAACTGAATCAACACAAACCATCCAGAGGATACATATGCAGATAGACAAGTTTGAATTACAAGGTTTGAAAGATAACCCAACCAACCAGAAAACATAAGTTCAACAGCAGAAGAAAAGCACACTGATGGAAGCATACAACTGAATGAGTTACTTCTCGAAGGTTATTATAACTTCTAAGAGCTTTATAATCCAAGAAGCCATTAGTATGAAAATAACCTTAGTGGTTGTGTTTTTGAGTTCTCTGTTAAATCACTTAAGTTCCAAACCGTTAGCTGAATGACCTTGAGTTCGTCACTCAGAAGACAAGTGAAGAATAAAGGAATGAAGAGATCCTTTAAATGCCAGAACTATTATTATGTCCTTGAGTCAACTGGTTATTGAAGGCCTACCAATAATTCCTTGAAAACTCCTTTAGAAGCTAGGAAAAGATTTGCTCAATCGCCGAAGAACCGACAATTCCCAGTGACAAGTAGAAGAAGTAAGAGCTATTTATCATAATTCAGTTGAATATTTACTTACTTTGTTACTAAATTTAGCGTATTTCCAGATAATTCCAATCGGTCAACCGCGCCCGTAGATCGACAAAGTTTGTATTTTACCTCGAACCTCTTTTCTACTATTCTGGGCTCACGTAAAGGAGCTGCTAGGAGGTCAATATTGAGTATCCAAGTAGCAGACATACTGTAAATATCTCAACATACTGTGACTGAAAACTCCAAATTGTTTCTAAGTTACACCATATCTTCTAAATAAAATCACCTGATAAGCACAACTGAGATCCTAGCTTAAACATATTCATGTTAATATTAAACTGAAATCTAGTAAAATATGCTTGCAAACTCTATTCATTTGTTACTGTTCTAACAATGATTTACTAATACGAATGATAAATAATTGACTTTTTGACCGATTCATTATATGCACAAATATAGGCTTGTAGATAGAAAAGCACTAAGTGAATACATCACTTTTGCAAGAGTGAATAGTTTTTGAAATTTCGATTATTTAAAGATAACTGACCAGTTGATTTTAAACTTAGAAATTAGTAGCAAAAAATCACTTTAAGTTCTAAGTTACATTTATCATAAAACACCAATATTATAAGACAGCTGTTTATAAAGAACCACTTTCGCCAAGGTTTGAACTTAAACACTATTCTCTAAATGACGAGACCACTTTATCAAACAAATAATAAATTTTTATAAATTGACTTGTTGTTTGCCTGTATCTTCCTATTGTTGTTTAGGACTGTAAATGACCAGTCTCTTGTTGGAATATGTGCACCCTATACGGATTGCCTCAATATTGCCTTGAATCACAAGCTTTATAAACAAATGTGGATGGTGGCTAGCAGCGGAATCCAGGACGCACGTCTCGTCCTATTTGGAACTCGTTAGGTGGATCTACCTAATCTCAGAGCGAACGGTACTGGGTTCGATTCCCTGAGTGAACATCAGCTCTGAGATGCAGGTACATCCAGCTGACGAGTTCCAAATAGAACGAAACGCACGTCCATATTTGCTTATAATAATTTTTTTATGTTTCATATAACCGACTGAGTTAAGTTTAATCATTTTTGTTTTCTCAAAAAAATTTCCCAAAATTATAAACACTACATCATGGCAATATATTAATTATATATAATTATATTGTTCTTATTTTCCGGAAAATCTAGACATAAATCCACCAATCTTTAAATTATTTTTCATTTAACCATCAGAGGTAAAGTTCATCATTAGTGATTAGCAGTTTATGGGTTGTGAAGATTGTTAAGTTTTTGATTGAGATCATGAACCGATTGATGTTAGGCTACCATTGAAAACCTGGAAGCACTGGACAGGCGTTTCGTCCTATTGTGGGATTCCCCAGCAGCGCGCGTCCACGATCCCGCTCGCGGGATTCGAACCCAGGGCCTTCAGTCTCGCGCGCGGACGCTTAATATTTAGTTAGAATTCATTCGTTTTTTCATCATAAAACTTGACTATAATAGGCTGATGATTAGGATCACAGATAAGAAATTGTAACAAAAATCCGTTACAGTCAAAGTAAGTATGATATTAATGTTAACTGCACTAAATTCACAATGATAGTAGGTTGATGATTAAAAAAAGGATTTAATCCAATACACAAGTGATTTTTATCAAGCAATAATATGAGCTAAAAATCTGATGATAAAAAAATACCAGGAACCATTTGATATTTGTTTTTAACCAGTTTGGAGTTCTGTATTGATCTTCAATTATTATCACACAAATGGTTATAATCCAAAACATATGGAAAGTTTTCAACAAATAGGATATTATTAAACCATTAAAATGTAGTCCAAACATCTAGTTTTCACATTCAATCAGTAGGCTATATATCTGTAGTACTTTTACTCCATTTCAAGATTTGTCAGTTTCATAAATTAAATATTGTCATAAAAATATCACAAAATTTATTTCGTTCAAAACCCATTGATAATTATTACTCCAACATTGATCAGCTAGAGATGATTTACAAAGATCTGTTCACTATGAAACTGATTCTTAAGGAGTAATGCCAACTATAGAGTCATCATAAACTTCAATTTTGAACATTTTCTCTTCTATCAAGTAGTTGACATCGATTGAGTTGTTTTTTTTTCAAAAAATTCTTAATCAAAATGAATAACTACCTACTACTCCACAGGTAAATAAGTCGATGTAGAGATTTCCATAAAAAGGAAAGAATTTAATGATGACCCTTTCTCTCCCCACCTATTTATCAAGTACATAAGTCATAATGATTTTCTTATGTTTTCACCAGTACACTAAATTCACATTTTTATTAAAATCATCATTCAGTGTACCATAAAATACTGGAAATAACAATTTCCAACCGACAAATAAAATTAATAGTATATCCTGTTAAATTATACTACCATATACAGTTGTAAAAGAATTAGTTAATTTAAAGTCAGAATTGAGATTTTTGAAAACTGTAGTATTTTAATAATTGAATTCATGAGTCGATCTAACCTAGACCACCACTGAAAACCTATAAGCATTAGACAACCGTTTCTTCTTCATATGGGACTCCTCAGCAGTACGCATCCAGATTTTCAATAGTATTCTAGCTTAGATCAACTCATGAAATCAATTATTAATATGTTGTAAATAGTCGATAATTCTTACTTACCTATATGTTTATGATGTCTTATTGCTGTAATCATACCAAGATGATGACGATTATGATGAGTTTTTTGTTTTTTTTCTTTATATAAATCAATATTATCCATTGAAATTGAATTGTCATTTAAATATTTCACATAATCAGGATGTAATAAATGATTCGATTCATAACGTCCAAAACTATGCCAATCATTCATATGACGTTCATGTAATTTAAACATATAATTAGGTGTTTTAGCTATTAATTCTTCTTTAGACGGTTTTTGAATATCATTATTTTTGAAAGTTTCTTTATTCATATTACTTAAACTACTACTTATAGTCGTTATACTTGAAGTATAATCTATAGATGGATTATTTTTAATCATATTTATTTGTGATTTTAATAGTTTTTCTAATAAATAATTCCATGTTTTTTGTTCAGATTTTGTTAAAATATTTAAATCCATTTGTTTTCCAGTTGTAGTTAATGATTGTAATAGATTAATTAAATTATATTCATTTGATAATTTAGGTGAATGATGAATTTGTTCAATAGATTCAATAGTTTTTATAGTACATGTTAAAACAATTATAATAATCCATATTAAATAAGTAAGAACATTCAATCTAGATATATTTCTAACCTTCTTTGAACTTTTTCTAGATAATACATTTGGTAATGATAAAAATTTCACTGATTCACTTTCATTCGATTGAAATATTGATGATTTAATGAATGGTTCCCTTTCAACATAATCATCATCATCATCATCATTATCATTGTCACCATCATCAACATCATTTTCATCATTATGATCATTGACATTTGTATAAATTAAATGTTTAACTGATTGAGTATTATATGAAATACAATAAGTGATCAATAAAAATCGTATAATAAATTTTAAATAAATAATTAAAAAACTTAATTTATTAATTGAATTATTAAAAATAATGAATAAAATAGATTTGTTTAACTTCACGGTAATACATTTACATATCCTGTTTAAAATGAATGTTTTTCTGATAGATAATATAAGATATGATCCAAATTGTTTAGTTGAATATTTTAATTGCCAACATTTTTCAAATACATAATCGAAAAATTCTTGAAATTTGTATACAGTAATTGAAAAGTAATAATCTATTGATAGACGACTAAGGTTAGATGTTTTGAGAAATATAAGTGTTGACGGCGTCAAATTGTATAGATTTGTCCTTTCTGTTTCCATAGCATAAGGATGTATTCATAAGGTTACTACTGCTTTGAATGTTGACTAATGGCGCCGATAGATTGTCGCCAAGGTATTAAGTTTGGCGCCTTATGACCTACAGTCGACAGGTCTAGAGTAAGTGACTTTTCCCCCATTATCAAATAATTCTATTTATCATTCATTTGAAAGAGAGAAAGTTTTTATAAAAGGAGAGAGAAATTATGTACAATGAGAGAAAGAAGCAAGAAAAGTAAGAAAGATAGATAGAAGTACATATAATCCACAGTTTTAAAATAAGGGTGGATGAAAAAAAAACCCTGTTATTTCAGTCTCGACATCACCTATCATATAGTGATACACGCGATCATCCACTCTAATCACTATCATGATTATATAGAATACGCAAATGTATAGTGTATACACACTTCATCTAGAACTATTTAGTTCACACCCTAAGAAAAATTTCATACAGTATCATAATATCATGTAAAGTTGAAAATCATTGGTTATTCAGTCATTAATAATATATGGGGTGGATACAGTTAAACATTTCTATTGGCTTAAAATTCTAGTCATATTGACAAATTAAAAATAACTAAAAGACTAGAATGAAGATTATTGAGATATTGTTGCTTATGGCGACATTGATATTCTTTTAAACTGGGTATGTTGTAATCTTCAATCAGTCCATGGAATACTTAATATATAAATCTGAATAAATAAAAAACAATAATAAGTTCACTTGTTGACAGTTGACTCTAGAAACTTCATTGATATAAAAATCTATATTTTTTTGGAAGTGAAAAGGATAAAATGTCAGTCATATATATATATATATATATAGTAAAGGGAAACATGCAACATACAACGCACGTGCACTAGTTAGCATTTAGTGTAATGATCCAACTTATCATGTTGATTCCATTCTATAAGTACTCATATTTAGGAAGGTAAATTACTAGTTAGCACGTGACTGACTTATTTATATAGTACATCCATTTGATCTCTAGATATTTAATTGCGATATTAATTGGTGTATATATTTTACAAAAGTAACTAAAATAATGCATTCACCTTGATTTTACATACATTTTAGTAGTGAGTTAAAAATATAAACCGATGATCTATAGTGGAAGGATACAATAGCAAATTTCGTCAAGCAAACAAATATAACTTAAACGTTGGACAGTAAACAGCGTTCGTCAATGTAGATTACTAGCCAGTTTCACTTAAATATTTTGAAATGTTTAAGCCGCCTAAAATTGGACAATTGAATTCACAGAATTAGCATACCATGAATGAGGTAAAAGCTTCCTACCCCTATTTTCAAAATGAATAGTTCTCATCTTTCTCACAAGTGATCGGTGTTATAACTATCCATTTGTCCTGTCAATGGAATTTTAGTTGAAGGTCAGTCGTCCAGCCTGTAGATCATAGTGAGAACAGTATTTAACTGCTGATTACTTCGTTTATTTTCATATTTCATTTAGTAGTGCCACTTGTATCAGCGGTCAGTAATAATTATCTAAAATGTAAACAGAAATTTCATACAGTTATCTTAACAATAAAAATAAAATACAAAGAAAATTAAACTCGTTATTTAGGAACTTATTTTTCAAGGAAGTCTTTATTCATAAACCAAAGTTAAACAAACATATAGGCACAATGAAATTTGTTAGTTGAAAACAATAACCAAAAGAGTTTGACGAATTGATTCTTCGTGAATGAATAACTTGCTAACTATTCACTACTTATAGTGATTTTACAACGCTAATCGGATTCACTCCACGTATTATCAGCCTTGTAAACTATTAGTGCAAAATCTGGTGTTTTCATTTCTTTATTGGAAACTTCCATTAATGTCATCATCATCATCATCATCATCATCATCATCATCATCATCATCATCATCATCATCATCATCATCATCATCATCATCATCATCATCATCATCATCATCATCATCATCATCATCATCATCATCATCATCATCATCATCATCATCATCATCATCATCATCATCATCATCATCATCATCATCATCATCATCATCATCATCATCATCATCATCATCATCATCATCATCATCATCATCATCATCATCATCATCATCATCACTACCACTACCACTACCACTACCACTACCACTACCACTACCACTACCACTACCACTACCACTACCACTACCACTACCACTACCACTACCACTACCACTACCACTACCACTACCACTACCACTACCACTACCACTACCACTACCACTACCACTACTACTACTACTATTACTATTATTAATAATAATAATAATAACAATAACAATAGTAATAGTAATGATAATGCAACCATTGCACTTGATTAACAGTTTCAGAAAGTTCTGTATTACGTAACAGTTTATAATTTTATTCATATGGACCATTATTTAAGAAGAAATTTTGCACTGACGATTTCCAGTATTATTAATGATCCACAAGTTTAAGAATACCTAAAATTAAGAATGAGTTATTATTGGAAATTCATCCAGAGATCCCTTTTTATTCCTTTTTTTTAATCATTTTCATCTAATTTTCTAGAAACACATGAAATAATTAAATTAGAATTTATACATCGAATGTGTTATATAATAAAAAAGAATGTTAAGAGCAAAATATTTGGAGAGGTTTCCTGATGAAAATAGACGCAAGCCATTCATTGTTGCAAAAAAACTCATATTTTAAAGATGTACAAGTTTGTTATAATCAAATGCGTAATATTGTGGTGTGTGCTACTGTTGTCGACAAATATAAGTAGTATGTACCAACGATCGAAAGTGAAATACCTGGAGGCAGAAGGTTGAGAAAATCGAAGAGAAGAGAACAGAAAATGATTGGTATGGAAACGAAGGAACAGTAAAGTCTAAGACAATTGATAGATATTCTGTATAGATCTCAGATTTTACCAAGATATTCTGTAATGTTATGTTAAAATACATTTGTTTGTCTTCATTGGTGTTCTCGTTCATTACAGTATTAATAAAGAAGTTAATAGTGATTGTAACGTTATTATTATCATTACTTTTATTCACCATCTTATTGTACGCACATTTTGAAAGAATTTACCTTAAATTAACCACTAACAGTTAAAAGAAGAAATTATTACATAACTGAATGTTTACTACAAAGCATACAGTGGATCGATTCAAAATCATTTCAATTTTAAATAGTTCAAAATAATCTATACGCATGTAACTATAAAAGAGATCATGATTTGTATTTAATGTTAATGACTAGTTTACTACTAAGGAAAACTTTTCAGTTTACACATAATGAACCTTTTATCTATACACATATAAACATACACCTACATGTCTGACTGTGTAACAAAGATTTATTTTACTGAAATTTAAATAGGAAAAAGAAAAACACCAAAGCAACTGGACTTCAATGAAAACTGAAGAAAAAAACCCAAAATATTTTGTGTAAACTTAAATAGTATGACTGTTATCAGTCTCATTAGCATCATATTTATTAAAAAAGTGTCAGTTTAAGAAATAATTTTTAACAATTCAAGCATATATGTATTGTACATATTTGGAGGGGGAAAAAGAACTAGCAGAACCCACCATTTGCTTCTTTGTATTTACTTGTTTTTTACAATACACAATATACACATTCACAGATATCATAGTGTCTAGGTAAATTTACCAAAGCTGAAAATGTCAGCAAATACATACATATATATATATATATATATATATATATATATATATATATATTGGGGGGTGAAAAAATGTTGTGCTTTCTTTTTGTTATGAAGATAATAGTTATTATTATTACGAAAATTGTTGTTGTTATGATTCAAAATACTGAATGGATTATTTTTATACAAAAAAGTCAAACAACAGTATGTAAACAATCTATCGCCAACATTTCGCCTATTTAAAGGTAATTTTTCTGTATACATATATGAATATTGAAAACATAATTTATATCATGTTAAATAATCACACACTTACATACAAACATTTAAACATCGTTTTCATATTATTTCTTCTATAGTGAATATTGATAATGGCGCCAAAATACTTTGTGTAGACCACCTTACGTAAAATGTATGAATAGTGTCTATATGTATCTTAATGTAAGAAAATCTATGAGCTTTTGTAAATATGTATATGTATGTGAACAGTTACGTTGAGAAGAATTCATCTATCAAGATAAAGAACGATAGTTGAACTGATTAACAATAGTGAAAAGATAAATGAGCTTTTTTTTCAGTTATTAACCAGTAATGTGTGGGCTATTTAAAATATAAGATACTTTCACATACACATATTTTTTTTTCCTTTGTGACAATTTTAATTTAAACTATCGACATTTGTTAGTGAAGTTTAGTGTGTCAAAACTAGTTGACTTAACTAGATGGAAAAAAGGGAAAAATGTTTAATGTTCAATATTTTGATAACGATGTGTATATGTATATAATTACCAAATATGTTTAGGTTACACAAGTTACTATTATTGTATAGAATCAAATAACCAGAATGTCAAGATTCATCTTGTATTGTTTTTATCAATAGAAAATAGTAGAGATAATATAAAAGAATTGTAATATACTGATATATCAACTAACTATATAACAGATATTGAAAATTAAACATTTTGTTAACTTGAATTAGTGGATCAAGAAATTCTCATATTTACTATACAGTGGTTATGTAACTTATTGGTTTCTAAGAGAAATTTAAGAAATTAAGTTATATTATTAGGTGTATAATTCTAGAACAGTATTCACTTATTTAATTATCAATCTACTTTTGTTTAATTTTATAGAGTAATAAATATTATAGGGATCATGTTATTAGTATTAAAATTATTACTTTTTTCCATACTACAATAATTCGATGAGGTAAATTGTCAAATCTATTGAGTTTTACTTTTATTTCTTTTAGTACATTTAATTATTTTCAGAAGGGGATTTTGTGGAGATATTAGCAATTTTTTGTAGTTGAATTCATGAGTCAATTAAATCTAGATCACCATGAAAAACCTGGAAGCATTGAACAGCCGTTCCGTTGTAGTATGGGTCTCCTTAATAGTGCACATCTACGATTCCCATCAATAGGTTTTGGACTGGAATCCCGTGAGGGTAATCACGGATGAACCCTGCTGAGGGGTTCCATACTAGGACGAAATGACTGCCCAGTGCTTCCAGGTATTTCATGGTGATCCAGGTTTAATTGGTACATGAATTTAATTATTTGTCTTTCGAAGTTATATAAACGGTCTATGATCACCAAAATTTCCCATAATGGTTACCTTAATCTCAAAATATTAAAAGTTGTCATTATTTTTTCTTATACCATATATGGTAATAGATAACTTATGAAGTAATGGGATAATCTATTATATAAAGTCTATTAATTTTCCATACATAATGACATTAGTATTCAACTAGTAATTTCTCTATTACAAACCATAACAATAAACAAATGAATAATATCAATGAATTTCGCCATTAAATAAGTACCTTCATTAAAATTAAATAGAATGTAACTCTTTTGAAAGATAAATATTTTCTTCCTATTTAAAGCAAAAGGATAATTTACTAAAAAAATTCTATTCATTGTTTAATCTTTTTTTGTAAACAACTACTCTGGGATGCAGGTATATCCAGCTGACGAATCCCAAATAGGACAAAACGAGCGTCCTGGATCCCACTGCTAGCCACTATCCATCTTTGCTTAAAAAGCTTGTGACTTAAGGTTATATCGAGGCAATCCGCACAGTATGCACATATTTCAACATGAGACTAATCAATTACAGTCCTAAATAACAATGGGAAGATACAAATAAAACAACACCAAGTGAATTTTATTTGCCTCATGAAAATATAATCCATAACTGATCATTATTTCACTGATTGAAATCATGAGTCAATTGATGCTAGACCACCACGAAAAACCTGGAAGCACTGGAAGGCCGTTTCGTCCTACTGTGGGACTCAACAGCAGTGAGCATCCACGATCCCGCACCCCACGATATTCGAACCCAGGACCTATCAGTCTCGTGCCAGGCGCTTAACCAACTAGACCACTGAGCCGGAATCCAACGGTGTTAATGCCTAACTTTAACCAACCTCATGAAAATATAATCCATAACTGATCATCATTTGGATTTGAAAAACACCCAATTAAGAGTTATTTCCAATAATTGTCATTTAAAAAAGAGATACTGTTTCATTGATAAATAAGTTTGTTTTATCAAAAAAAAATTATTTCATTTTAATTGTTTAGGTAAAAATAAAAGTCAATTTTGTCATCAATGAACCGAGTTTTTTTTTAAAAATGTGAACAAAGGAAAATATTGTAGATATGCATGATCATCAGTTAATTTTCATGTTAGTAGTTAAGGGAAAACTTTATTTGCATAAGCAATATTATATATTATATACATGTCAAAATGACAATCAGTTATTAGCATAGAAACAAGTTAGGTACTTAATTCAATGATTCTTCCTAAGACATAATATCAGTTTGGAATAAAAGATATCAGCGGTTAAAATATAATTTGAAATAAGAAGAATTAAAATGTTTGGGAAATTCACTTTCAATGTTTCTTTAGAGTTTTTTAGAGAATGCGTGCTATTGATATGAATATTAAATATGTCTTCCATAATAATAGGACTTTAGACGCAATGTAGTCAAAATTTTATGTGGACAAAACGATAAAGATGCATTTCCGTATGATAAGAGATGATTGCAGAATGTTGTATCGTGATGTAAATTCATTGGTTTCCACCTCTTAAAAAGATAAAGCTAATGATATTTGTAAATCAAAGGGGTATGTTTTATGTACCACCACCAAAACAGAAGTACCAGCTTAGCAGTCAGTTTTATGAATAGATAAATGGAACTAGAGTGAATGTTTTTCTTATAAAGACCTCCACATCTAAGGGAAAGCATGGAATACAATGGAAAGCTCAGAATCAATTAGAAGATTTGAACTTCGCAGATGACCTGGCCCTTCTATACCATACATACCAACACATGCAGATGAAGATAACTAGTGTAGCAGCAGCCTCTGCATCAGTAGGCCACAGTATACACAAAGGAAAAAGCAAGATCCTCAAATACAGCA